GAAATGATATGGTCTTATAGAAATGATTTGATCATGAAACTTTGTTAAGATAATTTCTTTTACAATTACGAAGCTACAGAGCTAATTTTGCAATTTAACTCTTAAATAATTAAAATAAATGTAACTATCTACTCCTTATTTACAGTGCAGATATATATTTGAGTACACTCATATACCATCTCGTAGAAGAAATATTCTATCATGAGCTTTTTTCTACGTATTTTTTATAAAATTATGACTCTTGCTACAGAGTCGGATTTTGCGATTTAGCTCTTAAAAAAAAATTTACAATAGATGAAAATATTTACATCTTATTGTCCTATAGTGCAAATCTATTTACGCATAAATAAATTATTTATTTTCACACATTTTCTTACAAAAATCGCTCTGTAGCTTTCGTCAGGCAGATATTCTGATTATAAATATTATAATTATATAGCTTTTCTCGCAGTATTTTGGCCGTAATATGAGTGAAAAGGAATTCATCTCCGATAGAGGTCTTCATAGTCTCTCCTGCCGATTAATCTGACAATTTAACTTATTAATTTATTGACTTATAGTAAAATTACGGTAAAATAGTAATTTATCGATAATTTTAATAAAATCCATTTTTCATAGCTTTATGCACAAATAAGCTATTTTTCGTGTTAATGAAATAAAAAAACGGTATTCTTCTTTCAACGTATATTTTTAAATGTATTTTCATGAATTGGTAACATTGCATCTGAAAACAAGCCTTATTATCACTGAAGTTCATTAAAATTTTAATATATTTTTATTTAACTTTAAGTATTCTAATTGTCCAATTATAGATGACTAATAATGCGTAGCGTAATCATAGAAAGTTTATTTTGTTTTTCACACTTGTAATACTAAATCTTAAAGTTTTTATTTATTAAAAATTTTATATAAATTTTATAGTCAGAAAATAATAATAAATAAAAAAATGTTATAAATAATAATGTATAAATACAGCAATGTTATGAATTATTAGGTTGTCGGAAAATGACATATCTTTTTCCATGTTTTTCAAAGGTCATTTATTTATATAAAGAACAAAGATCAATCAATGATATATTGCCCGTTTTATTCGATAATCTTTTGCCATCTTTCAGTGAGTTTCATAATTCTTCGTTCATAGAAGAACCTGTCTTTATCGGCAAAAAATAGCTGAACAAGGTGCTGATTTACAGCCTAATCTGAATTAAACATTATACCATGCAAAGAGTTTTGAAGAAAGCAAAAGTGGAAGTCTGACGACGCAAGGTCAGACAAGTATAGTGTGGCAACACATCCCATCCAAGCTCCAATAATTTTTGACGGGTGATCAAACTTGTGTGTGAACTCGCATTGTCGTGATGGAACACAATTCCTTTACGATTAACGAGCTCTGGACTTTCTGGATGATGGATTTGTTCAAACTGTCCAATTGCCGACAGTACACATTCGAATTGATTGTTTGGTTCCTTGGAAGGAACTCGAAAAATACGACACCTTTAAAATCCCATCACACTGAGAGCATAACCTTTCTCTGATGAATATTTGCTTTTGATGTCATTTGAGGCGAATCATCAGGTCGGGATCAAGACCATTTGCGCACCACATTGTTGTAAACAATCCACTTCTCACCAATTAGCAGTCGCTTCAAAAAAGGATCGTTTTCCTTACGTTTAATGAGCATATCGCAGATGTTTATACGCGCCGTCAAATGAACTCCTTTGAGTTTATGAGGAACCTAAATATCGAGCTTGCTTACGTATCCCAGTTTCTTCAGATGGTCGTGAACGCTTGAATGATGGATGTTCAATGTTTCTGTAATCTCTCGTGTCGTGTAACATGAATTTGACTCGATCAATGCCTTTATTTTGTCATCAACCTCGATGGGCATCCTTGACCGAGCGTCGTTGAGGTCAAATCACGGAATTTCGTGAACCATCGTTGGCACTGACGTTTTTGTAGAGCATTGTCATCGTAAACTTTACACAACTTTTCACAAGCTTGACGCGCATTCTTCCCTTTACGGAAATAAAACAATAATATATAGCTAAAATGCACAGTTTGATCTTCTATCTTCAACGATAAAATCTCCAAAACTCAACCAAATCGCTAAATTTTTTTTTTTTAGAATAACTAGAACTGTCAGCTGTCAAATGACATCGCAATAACATAGATGCGAATGACTCTAGTAAAAAAATTTTTTCCAAAAATGAACTAGCGCCATCTGTTACAAAAATGCATCATGACTTTTCCGACAACCTAATAAAAAAGTATTTCTGTAAATACTTTTTTGACTCATATTAAAATATGAATTAAATAAAATATTTATTCATCCTTAAAGCTAAATGCTTCTTTTAAAGCTTTTCATTAAGATTTTCCTTAAATTACCGTTTTACCAGGTTTTAAAAAATTATCGAATAACTTATCGTAACGTACCAAATAATTTACCGTCAAATTGGGCATCTCTAAATGTAACACAAAAATTTCAAACTTAAATTAATTGGTGTCTCAAAACGAAACATTTCGAAGAGCACTAAAGAATATTTATACACACAATCACATTCTTTACTTCAAATATTTTCAATTCTATATTTGAATTTCAAAACATTCTGATAACATATTTTAGCATATACAATTCAGATGCCAATATGTTCTCAGTTTGCATACTTGGTAGTATAGTTGCTACATTCTTTTCTTCCCTCGTTCCGCATTTGCATATTTTGACAATGTTAAATAATTGAATTATATGTATATAATTAATTGAAAAATGATTATCGTTAATGTTAAGAACAGACTTTTGAGATCATTTCGAGATAAAATTTTTAATGTCAAATTGCTAAGATTATAATATACTAATTTTCCACTAAAAGATGTTTAAAATTAAATTGCTTGAAATTTATTCATTCAAACATTATTATAATTATCATAATAATGAAAATCACACTGTGATTATCAATTTTATGCAACTTTTAAACAATTGGATTTTAATCAAATTTGATTTTAATCAATTTTAAATAATTCTTATTTAAAAATTTATTATACTTTATCAAGATTTTATATCAAGATTTTCTTAATGATCTTAAGATGGTTTCATGCTATTAATAATTATCATGCAAGATGTAGTACTGTATATCTAATATTTTAAATTTGAAATAGAAGGTATTTGATATTTTACTTACCATATAAGCAATGGAATTAATATGAGTGTTTACGCCATTAATAATTCTTTCTACTACATTATTTGAAAGTCCGCAATGCAAACCACCTATCATATTTTGTAATTTAGATAATGTTTGAAATCAGTGTGATATACATACTTACTGCAAAACAGAAAAGAACAAATAAAGAAGAACAAACATTCATCTTGATAATGGAAGCAATACTATTACAGCATGTTTTAGACAACATGTAGTTAAGAAACTATTAAAGGACAAAGAGCTTATAATTATTCACAAAAAAATGTCGTTTATCGCTATGTAATTATTAAAAGTATAATGTTATCGGTATAGATATGTCATAAACATATATTCTTTGTCATACTAATTTTAAATATTACTGAATATTACTAAAATTAATTAAAAGAGAAATACACAAATATATAAAATATATAAAACAAATATATAAAACCGACAAAACAAATATATAAAAACGACAAAAACAGAAAGAAATATATAAGTTATAAACTAATATATTTATTGTAATACTATTATATTTATTGTACTACTATTATTTATAGAATAATATTAAGTTAATGCTATAGCTATTGCACACATGTTGATTAAAAAGCCAAAGCATTTAACATCTGTGCATGCGTGTGTGAGAAAAAAATTGTTAATTCTCATAATATACACGTTTGAAGCGACAAGATTCATCGAATTATTTGACTCAAAAATTTATCCAAACTTATTGGAGAATGAATGGCATAGGAATCATAGATAGGAACATATTTGGTTCCGTCTGCCAAATATCTTAATATATCATATGTGGAACTTTTGGCAGAAACTGTTTCTGATTTTTTTGGAAGAGAAGAATAAAATTATATTCTAACAAAACAGTGCTGGGCCACATAACACCATTAGAATTATTACAAATTATTTAAACAAGCGTTGAATGGGTTGATACGATTCGATACTTTGGCTTGCAAAATCCGGATTTATTGAATTTTTTCTGTGGAGATATTTTAAATAAATTGTTTATAGAAAGTTATTTGAGAATGTCGAAGATTTAAAGGCCAAACTTCATTATGTTATTTCGATAATGTTATAGAGGAGACTCATTAGATCAATTTATTGAAACATATAAAAACTTGCATTAAAATGGTCGATAATCATTTTAAACATCTTTTATCAAGAAGAAAATTATCAGAGATAACTTAATCTGTCTTTTTCAGAGTAACTAGATATTTTATTTTGAAAAACTTTTTA